TTCATGCGCTCCTTATGCTGCTTTTCGAAGTGCTGTTGGGCCTTTTCGAGCGTCTTGAGTCTGTTTTCATCTTCCTTGATGAGCCCAGCTTGCTTGTCGCGGTCCTTACGAACTGGTTCTATACGCGAGCGGGTCTGCTCGATGTTGCGAGTCCTCTCTTCGATCTTTGCATCAATGGGAATCAACTTGTGCTCCAACTCGTCAAACTCGCGCTTCTTCGCATTGATGGCCTTCTCCACACCCTGAGCTTCTTTGGACGCTACGTGCTGCTCCTTCTGAGCGGCTTCGAGCTTTCGTCTGAATGACTCCACGTTACGCTGGAACTCTTGCAGGTTCTGCTGGTGCTCGTGAATCTTCTCGGTAGACTCATCCATGCCCCGCTGGAAATGGTAGAGTTTCCACAAGGCGTGTTTCACGATGGCCTCGTCTCTCTCTTCAGTCTTCTTCTGAAAGTTGTCGGCCTCCTTCTTCTGCTCCTGATACTGTTTGATCTCGGAGTTGATACCGCGCCGTCTGTGGAGCTGGAAGCTCTGGTTTTCGGCGGCTTGCTCGGCTTCCGTCTGTAGTCTTTCGTACTCGGCCTTGTACTCCAAGCTCCCAGAGATCTGCTCAATCAACCTTGTCAGGTCTTGAGGGGATTGAGCGGCGATGGCCTCCACGTCACCCTGGAAGACAAGGAAGTTTCTGGCTTTGATGAGAATGTTCTCAGTCTCGAGGGCCTCGTTATACTGCTGGGCGGTGACGACACGGTCGTTGATGCGGTACTCGCTGGAACCCTGGTTCGTGATGGAGCGCTTCCACTTTTGCTCGTCGCCGGCGTCGTCCTCGTAGACGGCCATGACCCAAGCTGTCTTTGGGTCGGTTCGGGAGGCTTTGTCCGACACGTCGTCTTCGTCGCCGTTGGCGAAGCCATTCGTCTGCCCATTAGCCTCTGCGGAGCCGTCATCGTTGATCTTGGAAGTCTTGAGAACGCGGCCGCGGTAGACAAGGTCCTTTAGATGAGCCGATCGCAGGTGCGATGATTTAATACCCAAGACGAAGGAGATCGCGTCCATGCTGGCAGTGGCAACGCGTCAGTCGATGAGTTCCTGGGAGCATGGCGAGAAGCGAGCTTACGAATTGGATTTTCCAGATCCATTGGGTCCGATAATGGATGTAAAGTAGGAGTCGCCGAAAAGCAGGACATGATGGCCCTTGTAGGATTTGAAGTCTGGCGACAAGTGTCAGCGCGCGCGCAGAGGGGGGGGAAATCAAGACCGTATTGAGCATACTGAAGAGCTCAAGACGAATGAGTTTTCCCATCTTGCTGAACGGTTGTCGCGACTATCGCGACGGGCGGCGTTGAGTTTCCCGACGATGGGGCGAGTTGATGTCGAGGCTCGTCGCAAACGCGGATCGGCGCGCGGAAGGGTAAGGGCAAAGACAGCCGTGTGGTGTGGCTCGACTGTAGGGTGGCAACAAGTGAAGCCGGAATTGAGTTGATCGAGTAACAGGGGCCTCTGGCTGCCCAGGCGCATTCGGGGAGGCACTATAGCAGGCAAGTGTGTGTTGCGTCTGGCGATATTCGTCCAGATGGCCGACTGAGTTTCCCCACGCGCGTCTGGTTATCTGGACGCGACGGGCTGCGGGATGCGGGCCATACTGAGGCTGCCAAATTAGGCGCGCAACAAGAGCTCGAGCCACTTGACGGGGCAGGCGCCAGACTGGCTGGGATCACGTGCTGCCAGGGGTGATGATTATATCAGCAACAAACCTCACCTATCTGCCTTACCGTCTACCTAGGTACCGTGCCACGGCGTGCAGCTGCGGCGGAAGCCACTTCAGGTCCAAGAGCCCACTCTTCACACCCACATCAAGTCCCCTCAACAGGTGCTCAACGTGGTAAACCAACAAACCAACCAACCACAGGCTTGGCCAACGACACCTGCACAGATTACGGGCTAGACGCAGCTGTCAGCGCATCTCGGCCAAGTGGTGCACGAAGTAAGTACTAGGTAGGTAGGGCGGGCAGGTCTATTCCTAGGGCAGAGTGCGTGTCCCAAGGCAATGAGGTACCTATCAAGCCATTTAGAACGGGCCAGCAGCGAGCTCTCTCCACAGCACAGCTACCTGAAGCAAAGCAAAAATGCGGTAGCATTATCAACTGCCCTGCCATGTGACGTAGACATCTGAGAGTGAATCCCTGTCTCGACAACTCGTTCCAGCTTGCATGCATGGAAGGTTCACACATAACCCGTCCGTCTGTCCTGCCTTCGGAGCGGTCAGCCGTTGACACATGCTACTTCACTCCTTGCCCCAACTCAACGGGTTCCAAATGTGTTTTCCCTTTTTCACGCTGCCTGCATCACGAGCCCGCCTTGGTCTGTGTCGCTCGCATCCCCCGCCAATCCCTAGCACGGCCTAGGTCGTCACGCTGCCGCCCAAGCTACGAGGTCGGCCAGCTACCTACCTTAGGTACACCATCCAGACTGGCCCAACTCAGCACCGCCTGAATCTGCCCCCTACATTGACCCAACGTTACCTACCTCCTGAACAGTCTCGTCTCCGAGCTGTCGATAAAATCTCCTTGTCTCCTTCGCACCGTAGATACTCAAACGGCCGTCCCAGCATATCGCCTCAAGATGGCAGAGCCAAAACCGGTGGACATACCCAGTGCAAAGGGCGAAGACATGCATACCGACAGCGACGCAGCATACACCCCTGATCACACCGAGGCGCACTCGTCCTCTATCACCTCTTCGCCGCCTGATCACGATGACCTCCATACGCCCACCATGGCCACTACCAACCCGGGAAGCCCCAGACTCTCAAGGAATCCTTCCTTCTCGGGCAGCAGCTCGTATCACGAAGACTGGGACCCCTTCCCGCCCCTCGACCGCCTTACCATGCTCGACCTCCTCGATAACTTCGCGCTGCCGCAACAGCTCGAGAAACTTCAAAAGGGCATTTCCGCCCAGACACAGAAGGTTCGGAAGTCGAGGGACGCATTTAGGAATAAGAGCCAGCACGCGCGAGAGCGCATGGTAGAGGAATGGAGGCGTCGCGTTCCTACCGCCGAAGAACAGCTGGAGAGATACAGGAAGCGCATGCGCGTCAGCGTGGATAAGCTCGGCAAGCAGTGGAACGACACCAGAGTGGTGACCATGCGAGAGAAGGTCTCTTTCATCTGCGGCGTCATGAACATCTTCGCCAGCGGACTACTCATGGGTGGCTACCCGGAATACTTCCACCTCTGGTATTCGGTCCAGGTCCTATACTTCATGCCCATCCGCTACTTCACTTATCATCGCCGAGGATACCACTACTTCCTGGCCGACCTCTGCTACTTTGTCAACTTCCTCCTCATGCTCAGCATTTGGGTCTTTCCTGGCTCGAAACGACTTTTCCTGTCCGTCTACTGTCTTGCATTCGGCAACAATGCTGTCGCCATCATCATGTGGAGAAACTCGCTGGTTTTCCACAGTTTCGACAAGGTCACCTCTCTCTTCATCCACATTATGCCCTGCGCAACTCTCCATTGCATAGTTCACTTATGGCCTGAAGAGATGAAATCTATTCGGTTCCCCGCGACATGGACCATCCAGCACTCTCCAGCCGGATCACCAACTGCATATGGAAATGTGGTGTCCATGTTAGCGTGGAGTTCCATCCCCTACGCTGTCTGGCAACTGTCGTACTACTTCTTTATCACCGTCCGGCGGCGGGAGAAGATCGCGGCCGGCAGGCCCACTTCTTTTACATGGCTGCGGAAGTCGTACTCAAAAAGCTGGATAGGCAAGCTGGTGCTTTCGCTCCCGGACTCCCTCCAAGAAGCGGCATTCATGTTGATCCAGTACTCATATGCGGTCTTGACGATGCTCCCTTGTCCCATTTGGTTCGCGAGCAGATACGCGTCGGCCGTTTTTTTGATGATCGTCTTCACATGGAGTGTTTACAACGGAGCAACCTACTACATTGATGTGTTTGGAACACGCTTCCAAAAGGAGCTGGAGTCGCTCAGGGCTGAGGTCAAGCAGTGGCAGAATACACCGGAAATGGCCGGCCATTCCCCTCTCATCACACCGAACCCGGATGGGACTGCGCCCAGCGAGCTGCAACTATCTTCCGGCGTCGAAGATGACAGCAAGATTAATTCCGCTCTTCAACACGAAAATGAGGACATCCGGGAGAAAGCAAATGCCGGCGCACGTGGAATAGATGGGATCCCGCTGCTGAGCGAGGAGCTGCCTGCCCAGGCAGAAGCCTCCGGTGTCGATGGCGGGGCCAGAGACGTAGCTAGGGAGAGGAAGGCAATTCCTGTGGAATGATGGGTCTAGACGAAGTTAATAGATGCAAATGATATGCTTGCATGGAAGCACTATACGGGGCACAATGACAGTGTGAATTCTTGGCTGTTCAGAATGATTACTGACTACGTATCATGATGGAGTACGTGCGATGGTTCATCCTACCACCCTTCTTTTTTCGTGTCAAATTTCTGCTTTAAAGTCATGTCGGATTTCACTTTCCGCCTCGCGATAGGTTGGGGAATAATTGTTAATTCTGCGATGGAACTTGACACAAGCCATGCCCTACCCCCTATTGAATGATATGGGAATAGATGCTGCTGCGCTCGCGCGTTTCGTGTCCGCTCCATTTTTCCATCCGTTCCTCATAGGCCTTCGAGCAGTCATTCGTTTCCTCCCATGGACCTAATGCTACGAAGCCCATGAATAATCCCAAAACAACACAAGAGTCCCAGCCTTCCCGTCGTGACGCCGTTTCCATGCACATAACGCAGCCGGTAGCAGGGTATTTCGCGACCCCATAACCATTTCCCCCACCGAGAAACCAAAAAAGAAAAAGAAATGACAGGTCAGTTGCTCGCTCCATTCCGCCACGCCTCCCAACCGAGCCATATTAACCTCATAAGCCAAGCAAAGGGATATGTCATTAATGTAGTTCGTCAATGCGTATCCGCGACGGGGCAAAGCGGCGGCAGACGTCGATGCTTCTGACTGTTACCGGATGATGCCCCAGTCAGCAAGCTTGCCCCCGTCGCTATCTTCTCGAGCTCCCGGTCGCCGGCCAAACACATTCCAAAAACGTAGCGTCTCGTCACCGGCGCCCGTCACGACGACTCTGCCATCAGGGCTCATCGCAAGATATAGAACACGATACGTGTGGCCGGTGAGACTGACCACCTGCGTCATTGACGGATACTTCCAGACAACGATCTGGTTTTGGCTGTACCCGTGGGTCGACACGATTTCGTTCGAGTTCTTGGACCACGCTATGTTGCAGACCTGGCTTCCCGTGTCCACCTCGTTGATCACAGTGCCACGGACGGTGTCGTGGAAAATGATTCTGCGATCAGCAGTTCCACCTCCAGATGCCAGGAGCCCCCTCTGGTGCGGTGACCATGCGATGGCTTTGACGGCAGCGGTATGGTCCGAGAATTTCCAGAGTGGCGTGTCCGAAAGCTTATCCCATACCATCAGTTTGTTATCGTTACCACCACTGGCCAGCTGCCCATCTTCGCAGTTCCATTTCAGGCCGCACACTTCCTGTTTGTGACCCACAAGTTTCCGCAACCACTGATCCGGAGCGCGAACGTCTCTGTGGTAGATGAGGCGGTCGCGAGAACCAGATGTCAAAATATGGGTGTTCCAGGCAAGCGAGCCTACCCTGGCGGTGTGGCCAGTCATTGTTCTCAATCGTCTCGTCTTCTCTGCGTCCCAAATCTGGACCAATCCTTTCCCCGTCCCGATGGCGATGTGCGTTCCCTTCTGGATCCACGATACGCTGGTGACCGTGTCATCCTCGAGGGTGCACAGCTTATTAACTCTACTGGTCTGCGCGTTCCACATGTACACGCTGGACCCAAGACCGACTCCCAGCACGTTGGCGCTGCCCCAGTCTACCAGGTTCAGATAAAAGTCGTCCGCCAGGTCGGGGGCGTCCAATACTTTGTAAGGCACTTTGCTGACTGCGCGGGGTTGTCGACGTGGGCTGAGGAGCATCTGTTGGCTATTGAAACGAACTGGCGAGAGGCTGTAGATTTCAGAGCGGGTGTCTAGATTGGGGCCGTGCCGACTTTGTGGCGTTCTCGACGGCGTGAGGTGGCCTGCGTTGCTTAGTTGCCGGGGTGACATGTAGGAGAACAAATTCTTGTGAGGGGTTGAAGGGGTCAGAGTGGATGGTAGAGAAGCCGCAGAAGCATTGTTTGGCGGTGTGCGCGATCTTGTGGCGTCATGAATGTTGGCCGAGTGAGATGCGGTGGACAACGAATGCTCCGGTGACAGTGTCGACGGTGTCGCTTGAGGTATTGAGCCCTCGAAGAGCTCAGCTCGGAGCAACGTCGAAAATGTGCGGTTTGCTTCCTCAGCTGAAGAGCGTTAGATGAAAGTGCCGCAACGAGCTGGCCCGATTTTGACTCACTCTTTTGGAAATGAAGCTCTCCGTGTGGAGTTCGCTTCTTTTGCTTTGAGGGAGTTGCTGGTGAGCCGTCTTCGTGCAATAAACTAAAGCTTGCTTGGAGGTCTTGGCCAGAGCGCGTGGGAATGAATCTATGAATCAGATGTTAGCAAGAGTTCTTGCATCGTGTGGTGTTGCTACACACGCACCTGTCACCGTTTATCCTCTGGCGCTTACGATGCGGGCTGGCTCCCGGGGTGCTCTCCCGTTGCGATCGGTGATGAATCTCTCGGAGCAAGGCGTGGTCGACAGCATCGGCATCAAAAGCAGTGCCCCGAGATGGTTCGCTGGGGCGTCTTATATGTTGGACTTTTCGCTGGTTCGCATTTTCCAAATGTTGGCGACTCTCCAGATGGCCACGATCTGAGGGAGGGGGCGGCGTCGAGAAGCGAGCAGGGGTCACAGTCGCGGAGTTGTTCGTCTCAGCTACTGATCGCTTTGCTGGAGCGGAAGCAGCGACAACTGCTGGTGGATCGCTCGGGAGCGTCATTGTAGGTTGTGGAAGTGAAGTCGGCAAGAGAATGCGGGCCAGGGCAGTGAAGAGATTCAGGTCGAGGACGGGCGAGGCGGCTGGGACGAGCGGAGGAGATGGCGGGGAGCCGAGCCTGTGCGGGCGGGAGGCGTCGCAGTCGCACGTCGGGTAGACAAAGTTGCGGGCAATTGATGGAAGAGATGTTTATCGTGACGTCGGGCGCAAGCGAGAGTGAAGTCGGCGGTGGCCAAGTCGTTCGGAGGATTGGCGCTGGCAAACGATTCACCACCTTATCCCTGATGGTGGCGCTCAACTCGGCATCAATCGCATGCTTTCCCCTCGGGATGGTCGCAAAAGGTGACTGGTCACCGTCGAAAAGACAAGACAAGACAGTCGTAAAGCTGATCGGACGTGAATAAGAAAATGAAGCGGGCAGAACGAGAGAAACAGAAAGTGTCGTCGTGCAAAGTGCGGACGTGGGTATCGTGAGCGTGTGTACAGATACAAGCTGTAGAACTCTGGGTCCACGGTGCAGAGGTCGCAGCAGGCGATAGTGGCAGGGTGAGGTAAGGTACAGCACGGCGGAGAGAAAGGCGTCGACGGCGGACGATGGAACGGGACGGTGAGGTAAGTCGGGGTCGACCCAAGGTGTAAGGGACGGGAAGGTGTCGGATGTCAAATGGTGGTGGTGGGTGGGTGGCCGCCCAGTACAGTGCAGGAGCCAGCAGCAGGCAACATGGAAGCAACAACAATGGACGTGGCGGGCAGTACCTGCCTACACTGTGCATACCTTACTTACCTAAGGCAAGGAACCTGCCTCAAGGTGTACCTACCTACCTTAAGGCAGGTAAGATGCCTAAGGTGGGTACCACATAGCCCAGACTTCACAGTTGCTTCAGGGAAAGTCGCGGGCGACGACTTGGTTCCTGCCCTGAGGTGTTATGTTATTCACGCTATTGGCCGAACAGGGAGCTAGCGTTGACGGCAGAGCAACAACACAACGGGCCAGCGGCCAAAGTCCTCACAATGTCTAGAGCACTCACTGGGTTCCATTCCCTGGATTGGGTGCTTTGACTCCCTGTAGGCCCCGTCCCGTCCCTTCCCGTAGGGCCGCGAATGTGGACGCGACGAGACTTACCTTAGATACTTTCCATGGTACGGTATCTTATCTCACACCTCGATCCGAGGACGCGGGCGCATCACGCTTGTAGCACCTTACCTCAGCGCAATGATAACAATGGCGAGAACAGGAACCACAACAAACAATCCGTCACCAAAAAACCCGTCTGCACGCGATGGCGAATTGCTTTTCCGATTCTTGCGTGTTTCTTTTAGAGTCGGGGGTATGAGATTCAGCCAGAGTCTTACCACAGCCGACTGGAGGCTCTCCCGCCCTACGTCCATACCGTCCTGAAATATTTTCTCCTTCAGGTAAGGTAAGGCACCTCATCCAGGTCGTCGACGTGTCTGGGTCAGGTAGGGTATCCAAGTTGAGCATATCCGTACTCTTCATGCGGCTCCATGATCTTCAACTTCGTCAGGGTTTTCCGTCGAGTTGACAGTAAAAGCCAGGCATCCTGGACCATCCACAATAGCCCCCAACAGGCCCACTGTATGCAGCGTATCTGAAAATGGAAGTGCAGACGGCAGACTGGGGTCAAGCAGTGTGCGTGTGTGTGAGAGAGAGAACGGGGGTTGACGCGCTGCTCGGGCCAGCGTGTGTCGTGGAGCCGCGCCGAAGTCCCATGTGTTTGTTTATTATTGACATACATCCCGCCAGCGGCCAGCCAGGCCTCGGGGCTGGAAGGCTGGAAGGCTGGAAGGTCCATGTCTCCACGTCTTGCGCCAGCCAACAAGTCCTGAGCACCATTGTTGTCGCAGTGTTTTGTTTGCTCCTAGGTTTTCCCTCTCCTCCCGGACCCGGAAATTCGCGCAACAAGACCCCCTAAGTCCCTCCCCCGTGTCCCGCGTCTCAGGCCCCCCTCCTCACCCCAGCCAACCAACTAGGTGCGCAGAACCTTGGGTAGAACAAGCTCGATGGCATGTGGATGCACCCAGCCACTGCAGTTATATGGAGGCATTTGATACAAGTGGTATCTGTATCTTGGGGCACTTCAGCCTGGAACGCTCCCATCGTGATGAGGGTTTCCTTCCCGTGAAAGTCGCGACAATCCAGGAACATAACTATTCGTGGCGGCGAAGATCAAGATGAGAAGGAGGCCAAAAAAAAAAAAAAAAAAAAAAAAAAAAAAGANCAAAAAAAAAAAAAAAAAAAAAAGAACAACATGAGAGGAACAGAAGCTGGGAGCGACGCGAAGCAAAACGCTAAGAAATAGCTTCTCAGCGGTTCCTCAATACTCGATACGTCATGTGAACCATCCGCGAGCTGGTGTGGCAGAGACGCGAAGGGCGACGCGTAAAACGCGTAAAGAGCTCCACGCGAAAAGCGTTCCGTTCCATCATCTCGTGTCAGCTTCGGGGGGCGCCAAGTACAGTTTGAAGAAAAGACACTACCCACTGTACTACACTCCTTTTACTCCTCCGCTTGTTATGGCAGCCCCAGCCTGCATCCAATTGGCAGACACAAACTGTCGACAGCAGTCGGTCTTCCGCGGGCTGCTAAAGGTTCGCTGTGCCTATTGGCTCCCTTGCCGCTTCCATGCATTCAATGAGCTCCTCGCGCTACAACCCCCTCCCCCAATGAGCAACAAACATCGGCTGTGGTCCGCATGGCCATCTCTGTCGGCCATGGAAACGTGATCCTTGCTCATGCTTGTCAGCATGTAAGGTACCGACGGCGCACATGGGATGAGATTACTGTCGACAGGCACTGACAAGTGTGATGACTTGCTCTCGGTCACAACACGACCTTTGTTTCGAATCTTCTTATCGTCGCCTGTAATTCGCCGTTTCAATCCCATCCGCCTCTCGTCTGGGCACTCCATGATTCCCGAGTCCCCGACTGCTATCATTAGCATCACGATGGCTGTCTACTCCTGGAAGATCGTCGCTTAGCTATCCATCCCTTCTCCGGGTTCAAGCAAGCCCGAGCAGCCTAGTCGATGTGCCCCGTCGATGGTAATGACAGGCAACGTCATCCCTATATTGCCCTTGGCACAGCACCTGTGGCGCAGATAGTCACTATTCAGCCATCCCGCGCTACTTTGTAAAGGGAAGGACCAGCAACGCCTGGCCCGATGCTTCAGGCAACATTGACAGAGGTACGCTGTTGAAGACTTTTTTTGGTCAATCAACCCATCAGTCCGGGGCTGCTGACCTTTCGTCTCTACGTCCCCTGCCCTGCCTGCGGCAACTCGAGCCAATTAATTATTTCTTGACCTGCCGCGTGGAAGTCTTGCTCGGTCTCGGTACTTTGCCGCGTGCTTCCCCAGCCGAGTTGTTTAGTGTAATCAGATCCCGAGCAAGACACTGATCCTCCCCTGTGGAAGCTGGGCGCTGATGCGCGATGCGAGATTTGAAAAGTGATAGCCCCGCTTTCAACAAAGATCGCCGACATCGAGCAACAAGCCAATGTTTGCTTCTTTGGCTCGGTCAGCATCGCGGCGTGGCCATGAGTAACAACGCCGAACGAGAGAGACAACGTGGTTGCGACCACGAGAGAACGCAACAACGGTACGACGATTCAGGCCGCACGCCTTGGTGCCAGTCTCGACCGTCGGCAGACATATAATAACCAGCAAAACGTCCCTTAAAGTCGTCTTCAAGAGGGCATCGTCCGTTCGCCGATTTGAGCTTTCGATCGCAGCTCCGGGGATCGAGCGAGCACGGGCTCCTGGCTGTATTCTGGCTTGCTCTGGTTGTCCAGGCTGATGGCATCGGTTCTAAACATTTCGGCCAGGGAGATGACGCGCAGGTCGATTCGGAAATGGTCCCCAACTTAGCCCCGTCTGCCATATGCCACTTTGCGGTTTTGCTAGGTCGGGGGCGCCGCGCTTTTCCTCGATTAGGACCTTGGACGTGGTTCGGGGGGTCGGCTGCGGTGGGGCCGATGCCGAAACTGGCACACTGGTCAAGGCGTCGAATATCCCGCCCCACAGCATTCAACCACGACCCAAGACGTTGGCTAAAGAACTTCAAAGTTGGAGCGTGAATATCCCCGTCATGGCATGGCACGGACAGCAATTCTCTTGTCTCGTGGCGAGTGCACCGCAGTAGCCGGTCTAGCCCGGCAGACCCTGACAACGTTGCTCTTGGTGCCGGCCGGCGACAGACTTGCCGAGAAGCATTGCAGGCGACGATATCACGCTCATCGCCATCGCTGCTGACATCGTGGCATCCTTTACCACGGACTACCCTCAACGTTACTCTGTATTGGCTTACTATTGCCTTTCGGGCTACGGTGCCAGTCGACGATGGCATGTACCGCATCCTCCGATCCTTGCTCCTTTTTTCGTCCGTCTCACTGCCTGTTCTGCCTCTTGTTGCAGCGGCTTGATGCCAGGAAGCCAGGTCATTCTTCCCCGTCAAGCCCGCAGATCCTCTTGTTGGGCGCAGCCGCACACCACTTGATGGCGACGGCTCCCAGGACTCTTGGTTCATTGGTGCAGCAGCGAAACTGCTTCCCAAAGGCGTATCTTCGAATGCACGACCCGTCCTGGGCTACCTGGTTGCCCCTAGTCACCCAGCGTGCATGTCAAGGCATCCTGGTGTCATCGAGCTGTTGTGTGGATGGATGATGGATGACAGTTCTTCTGCCCGAAGCCAATGCCAATGGGCCGTGCTGAGCTCGTAGGCTTCGGACAAACCATCTGACTAGTCCCAACCCGTCACCCAACCCTAGAGTTGTCACCAGCCCGACAAAGACTAATTTGAGAGCCAGGCATGGCCCTTTCAGCCATGAAAATTCTCCTGCACTGCCAGGAGCGATGCTCGAGCATACTAGCCCGCGATCGACGTGCTCGGCCGAAAGTCAAATGAACTGACCCATCCACCCATTGTGACGAGGTCTGAAGTGACCACCACAACACAACGCTGTGGGGTATGATCTTTTCGGCTTGCCGCCAACATCGACAACGCTTGATTGATTGCTTGAATCAGACAGACGGCGAGGGGCACGGCCAGGCGGTTTGGCGGGTACCTGACACCCTTAATTCGGCTCACTCACGGGCCTACGGGCCTGACATGCAGCTTGTGCTTCTTGCCTCGTCTGTCAATAGTCCCATCTTGTCGTCGTCGATCGTTGTCGGCACGCCCTCCTAGACCTATGTGTACTTTTGCCGAGCCCCCCGTCTTTGATCAACCCCCCCCCCNCCCCCCCCCCCCCCCCCCCCCCCGCTGTTCAGATGGCGGCGCCTCGACGATTGAGGAATGACGTTGCAGGAGCCAATGGTTCGGAGCCACCGCTCTATTTCTTCTTTGATATACCCATGCCTCCGTTCGTCCACAATCCCTCAACCTCGACGCTTCATATAAAGAACTTCCGCTCCCAGCCAAGATCATGTCTCCATCGCCCGTCCCCCCTCAGGCCCGTGATCTCGGCTCCCGTTCTGTACTTACACTATTCCGGCGTAAGAAGCACATGGCTCAAGTAGCTGCCAATCCCAACCACCGCCGACACAGGCACGGTGAACTTACTCAACCCCAGGCCAACGGTCCGTACAGCTCTCTCAGTGTCACGTCTCTCGCCAGCCAAAATCGCGACATGGATGTGGAAGAGGGCGGTGCTGATATCCCCGATATCCCCTTGAAGCGGCCAGCCAGCCGTCTGCCGCAGGACAAGACGTTCAACCCGTCTCGTTTCGAAGAAGCTTGGGTCGAGGACGACAGCAACTGGACTCATCACGGACCCATCAACCCTAATGCTCTGAATGTGAGAAAAGATAGAAGGTGAGAGAATCGGTAACGCCTGCAGGTGCGTTGATGTTGACCAACCGGCTTTGTAGTGCTGTACAATCTCCCGAGATCCCTCCAAGGGGGAGGGTCAAGTCTCCCGAACCTCTTCAAACCCATGAGCGGCATACGTCCTCCAGTCCACCTAGAAGCCCTCGCACACGATCTTCAAGATCGAGGGCAAACTCGACTACATCGTCATACCAGACGAATGCCACCTCCTTACCGCCTCTTCAAACCAAGGGCGCCGGAGACGATGAGATCCTCGAACCCCTAGCCGAAGAGGAGGTCGAGCCTGGATCGTTCGATCTTGTGGTGCCTTCCCATGGCGACAACGGCATCTACTCGCTGGAGACTCGGTCAGAGCTCCTCTTCTCAAAAGAACATCTGCAAGCCATCTTCAAGGACCACGTTCTGCTCCAGCGTTTCACCGACTTCCTGCACTCCGCGCGACCCGACTCACTTCCCCTCCTCACGTACTATCTGGACTGCTTGAAAGCCTTACGCGCCATTGCTTACGCCAACGCCATCGCCAGCGGACTGGACTCGCTACCTGAACACGGGTTCTCAGTTCAAAATGCCGAAAACACCTCCAACACCTCGTTGGAGAAGAAGGCGGGGGCCGCCTTTGATGTCCTCGTGCAACAGGACCTCCCGGCCTACATTACGTACATGTGGATCCAGACCGTCAGCGTGTCCATCAAGAGACGTATCACGGGGACCCTACCCGTCCAGTTGAGAGAAATGTCAGAAGGGTTGGCGGAGGTTTTCTGCCTGACGGACCCCTCAAGGCATGATAACCCGATTGTGTTCGCTTCAGAAGGTTGGTTCTTCCACCGTAACGCTTCCAACGAACCGCGCTAACCTCATGAAAAGAGTTTCACAGAACTACGCAGTACGGCATGAACTACGTGATCGGCCGTAACTGCCGGTTTCTCCAGGGCCCGAAGACCAACCCTTTCAGCGTAAAGCGGATCCGAGATAAGATCCTCGCTGGCCAGGAGCATTACGAGACCTTCCTCAACTATCGCCGTGACGGCTCGCCTTTCATGAACTTGCTCATGGTCGCACCCCTTTACGACAGCCGGGGCACGGTCCGCTACTTTATCGGCGCCCAAGTTGACGTCTCTGGCCTCGCCAAGGAAAGTTCCGGCCTAGACGCCCTCCAAAACCTTGTCGTGGAGAATGAAGCTGCTGCTGCTGCTCATATACGGGAACAGGAAGTCGATGAAGAGAAGGATGAGTTCCGAGACCTGAGCGAAATGTTCAACATGACAGAACTTGAGACCGTCCGCAGGCGAGGTGGCAACATGCATCGCGTTCCCCAAGATGAGGAACATGCAGCCACGTCAACGAACTGGCACAAGCCTCGCATTCTCATCCAGGATGAGACTTCGTCCATCCAACAACACACCTCAGCCCCGACCATCCACAGCGGCAAGCTCTCCGGCGTGTACGAGCACTATTTGCTAGTCCGTCCCTATCCCAGCCTGCGCATCCTCTTCGCTTCGCCCTCACTGAGGGTGCCCGGAATCCTGCAATCCAACTTCATGGACAAGATCGGCGGGTCCAACAGAGTTCGTGACGGCCTCCATAGAGCCTTTGCCGAGGGCCACGGGGTGACTGCAAAAGTTCGGTGGATGAGCAAGCCTACCAGCGAAGGCCGGATCCGCTGGATCCATTGCACACCACTTCTTGGCAGCAACAGTGCTGTGGGCGTATGGATGATTGTCCTCGTCGACGACGAATCTGACGCTGGCATGCGAAAGGGAAAAGAGGCTCCCCCGGTCGATGGACGTTTGCGTCGGACCGGTGCCCTGCAGCAACCGCGTCCCTCCAAAGATGATAACATGAGCCTGTCATCTTTCGCTGCGATGAATAAGGCCCGCGACGAAGTAGATGCGCCCGCAGATTTCGACATTGACCCAGACCGGCCCGTAAGTCGAGCGAGTCGATCGAGTCGCCTGAGCCGAGGGCTTGCCGGATCCCGCCGACCCATGTCCCCGGCCTTTAGCGACAACGACGAGCCTCTCCGGCCTGCATACACGGTGCGCCTGGAGGAGGATTAGTCGCGCGCAACTTGGAAGATTTGACAATGGTCTATTTGTTCTTTTGTACTTGATACCACAATACTCACAACGTCCTTGTTACTGACACCGGATTTCAACTGCATGCCGCGCACAAGCATTGATCTAGAAAGAAACGGGGTGTGCAGGCAGCAGATATATCATGCTCAGGGCATCCCTTTGGTAATGTATATACCCTAATTCAATATTCGCGTTATGCCGCACTCTCTACGATATTGTCTTGATGAGTGAAGTCAAGTTGCATGCGGTGTTGGGCAAAGTCTGAGCGCCTATCAGTGACTTTTCATACCGACGCCACCATGCTTGCCGGTGCTAGCCAGTGGCAACCAAATTTCTTTGAAAGGGTCGTTAGATCCTAGTCATGTCTGAATGTTCAACTTGGACCCCTCAGCAATTCCTGTTGTACATTGTGCTGTTGGGGTTGGCGCCAAGTGACTTCGGGAGCAGGGATGCTGTTTTCAGGCTTCATTGACTGATCGTCATGTTCATCAGCTCATCAAATTCATGTAGTCTAAAAGTACGGCCGAGCTGCAAAGGCCTCCTCAGGCCTATCAAAGGCACTCGTTATCCAGTCCGGCGCACATCCCGCGTGACCCAACGTTGGGACACGACAGAATCAACCTAGCTCGTCTCTGCAGAGAAGAGCGTGGGTGTGGTTGGCATCATGGGAGATGTCGATAGGAAAGTCTCAGGCCGGAGCAGAACCGGCTTGCTCTAGTAATCGTGCACGCCATCCATCGCAGACCGCCTCAAAGCCACTCACAACATCGCCGCATACCCCCGCGCACTCGCGTTTCCGCAGTCTCTCGCTCCAGTTTCCACGTGTGAGCCACCGCTCGCCTTCCTCGCAGAGCTCCTCCTCTCTCCTGATCTCGGCAACTAGCTCCTTGGCGCTCTTCAAACGGCGGGTGGCTGTCGTGGTCGTCTGCCTCGACATGTGCAAGGTGTCCGATAGGTAGTTGAGGCTCTGGACGAGGTCACTTGTGAGGGTGTGGAGCGCCGTTAAGGAGTCATATGCTTTCGTTGTTGGCCGGGGCATTGACTCTGACAGCTCGAGTAGGAGGGGCAACAAGTCGTCGACTGTCTCTGAATCTGGAGGCGGGACGAGCGGAGAAAGCAGCGGGAACGTCAAATTATGTAGTTGACGAGTCTGGTGTGTGAGGTGGGTCGTGAGTGCCGAGTGAGCGGTGATAAGCCTGGTCAAAGTCAGGAAAAAATGCGTGGCTGCGGCATGCTGCCGGTGACATACCTCGTTGCGCTGCCCTCGACGCCGGCCTGAGATCCGAGATCCCTCAAGCTCTCCGTTACGCGACTAAAGACCCCATCCGTGGGCCCCCCATTGCTCTCTGTCCCTCTTCTAGCCAGTGACTCCACCGCATCGATTTTCGCGACCAGGCTAGGAAGCATGCCTGGAGAGTCGAGATCCGACTCAGACCCATATTCACTGCCATCGTACTCGCTCCCGCTTCTGCGGTGGCCGCGCCGGGGAGGCGACGGAGGGCCCAGGTTGAGATTTCTGGCCTTGCTGCCAGCTTCACCAAGGCTTGCGACATCAACACCACTGTCCCGTGTTCCCTCTGCGCCCGGTTTGCCATCGGCCTCCTCGACACTGATGTTTGGGGCACCGGTCTCGTCTTCGTAGTATTCTCCCTCATCACCGGAATCGGAGAAGGCGTCGGCCAGCTCGTCTGCGAGATTCCCCAAGCCGTTCCCGGCAGCCGCGCCCCCACTGGCGTAGGATACATCGAGAGCATCTTGTTGGTTGAAGCTGCCCCTTAGGGGCGTCGTCGATTCGTGTGTTGACGATCTCGACTGTCGGCGGTGTTGGGGAGATGAGTTTGCGCTGTACTGGTATGAGGCATCGACGCTCGAGGCGTGACGCGAGTGGCTCGGAGTCGAAGGCATCGTAGAGTCGGATCGGAGAAAGGGAGTGGCGGTCGGTCGGCAGTACGGGCCCAGAACAGATGTGGGAAAGCCGTACGGACGAGAGTTATATGTAGAAAAAGCCGGATCGATGACGCTCCGCGACGTGCGTGTGCTGGCAATCAACAAGCAAAGCAGACGAGTGTTGTTGCTCTGCTTGACCCGGGGTTGCTGGTGCAGAAACAAACAACAGGGGTTGTCGCATCAAATATACAACCAGGAAGACCCAAGTGGAGGGCACTGCAGCAGGATGAAGGCGAGTTGGTGCTCGAGGGCCGCAGTCATGCAACAAAAAACAACGTCGAGCGGAGCGGAGCAAATGCTAGTTCGACGGCCCATGCAAGTCAATGTCGTGGAAAACAGATAACGCGGGCGTGGGCAACGGCAACAGCAGGGGCGATGGTGATGGCGATGGCGAGCAGCTGTGCGGGCGAGCTTGGGTATATTACCTCTCTTATTAGGAGAGCGGGCGGATTGCGGATAGGGCGAGCGTCCAATTAATGCAATCTACTGGGCGGGCACGGCGGGCTTTGCTTTGTTGTTGATTATTATCAGCCGATGGATACTCGTAATAAGGCAGACCGGGCTAAGACGAGGTTCCTTTGCGCCTGTGCGTTGGGTCGCCCTCTGTGTCTTGGCCGTGGACCTCTGCAGTCGTTGCGCAAGGGCCTACGTACCTAGTGAGAGTGCAAGTTCGAATACAGGCTGTCGTTGTGCCTCCCGTGTAAGTGAAAGAACCAAAGGCATGGACCTGTTTGGTACGATGTGCAGAGGGGAAGTGAGAGAGAAGAGGGGGGGGGGGGGGGGGGGGGGGAAAAAAAAAAAANGGGGGGGGGGGGGGGGGGGGAAGAAAAGAAAAAAAAGAGGTCGAGATGGCGACTTGCTGGATCGCCAGTTTGATGTGAGACACCGACCGCCTGTGGTGTAACTGAACTGTACTCTGTAAGGTGAATCTACCTAACCTAAGGTACTTAGGCACCTACCTAGCGGCGCGTGTGACTCCTGCGTTCCATTGTGGCCGGACGGGCTTTTCCCATCCAGGGCCCGGTATCCAGGCCGTTTAGGGGCATCTGTCAGCTCCTTAGCACACGGTCCCTGCATGCCCGCTCTCCAGAGCTGTACCTACCTTGGTCGGCAAGGTTCCTTAAAAAAGATGCCGTACCACACCTTATTATGTCAGCGCAGAAAACCCCTCCCCTACACTTTCATTGAGATTCATGGACACAGCTGTTATGGTTTTTGCCTATCAACATTGTCGGAACAGAAGATATTTTGTTGCCGGCGCTGCTTTCGCGGAACGTTTGTCTGTGTCCGGCCCTCGCGCCCCATTCATGCCTAACTCTTCTGCTGTACATTCTGCAGCTTTATCACAGTTGGAGCCTGACCATCTCCAGCCACAGCCACCTCCCGGCGCCGACACTCCTCGATAGTTCCGACTCCAAGTTCGCGGTCCGGTCCCGCAGTCATGGCCACCTTTCGTCGTTTCCGCCCCGACGATGTCAACAAGTTCTCCAAATGCAACCTCGATCCTCTGACCGAGACGTACGAGCTGGCGTTCTACCTCCAGTATCACGCAAAGTGGCCTTCAATGTTCCAGGTTTGCGAGGACATGAATGGAAATATCATCGGCTACAGTACGTCAACAACAGCACTGCCAAAGGCATGGTGGATCCATCTGACATGATACCCAGTCATGGGCAAGCTCGAATCATCGCCCGATGTCTACAAATTCTCGGAGCACTACCTCCCCTGGCATGCCCACATCACTGCCCTCACCGTCGCGCCCGAAGCGAGAAGGCTGGGCATCGGCAAGATACTCTGTGAGCAGTTGGAGGCCGCCGCCGACGCAAACGATGCTTGGTTCGTCGACTTGTTCGTTCGCACCAGCAATCACAAGGCCATTACGTTTTACAGGAACTTGGGTTACAGCGTCTTTCGCGTGGTCAAGGACTACTATGGCGACCATGCTACGGATCCTACGCTCGATAGCGAGGATGCCTTCGATATGAGAAAACCCATGAAGAGGGACATCAAGCTCCAGCACGTGAGAGACGACGGAGAGAAGCACGAGGTTGATCCATCCGATGTTTGGTGAGAACTTGGACCATCTTTTCCAGCACAACCCGCCTGCACCTCCAATCAGCGCAACGTGCCGTCGCCCGCTCAAAGCCAAGCTCCGTCGACGTTATAGACGCTGCCGCTTACGAAAGAGCTCTCCGGGCCGAGCAAGAATGCGATGACGTTTCCGCACTCCTCCGCGGTACCCTGGCGTTGGAATGCCGTCGGCTCGTCGAACGCGGCGTCCGATGGGCGGTTGTGGAACTTCCAGGCCTTCTCCATCAGCGGCGTGTAGATGGCCCCAGGAGCTACGGCATTGACCCGCACCTCGCGGCCTCCGTTCTCGTTGGCCGCCGCGCGGGTAAGACCAATTACACCATGTTTGCTGGCGTCATATGCGCCGTGTTTGGCGAAACCTAGGCAGTCGGCTTGTCAGACGAGTCTCCAGCAATGGGTCCCTCAAAGAAATGACAGCGTACCTTTGACGCCATGTATCGAGGCCACATTGACAATCGAACCGCCGTCCACTACGTTTCTTAATTCCGCCCTGAGGCAGTACATGCACCCCGTCAAGTTGACAGCAATGATCTTGTCCCATTCCTCGTCCTCTAGGTCCGCGACAGCCCGGATGCCGTGGTGCTTGCCTATGACGCCTGCGACGTTGGCCGCTCCGTCCAGACGGCCAAACTGCTCGATGATGCCGCTTATCCAACCTTCGACTTGATCCTTTTTCGAGACGTCCACCCTCGTTACCGAAAATGGCATCTTTTGCTCTGAAAAATAGGCCTCAGCCTCTTTCATGGCATCGGGTTCGACGTCGGCAAGACACACAGTTGCCCCTCGCTTGGCGACGATCTTTGCGGTGGCTAGGCCGATGCCACTGGCACCGCCGGTAAAGGCATAAACCTTTCCTTCGAGTGATGCCATTGCAGTGGCTCTACTTGGATATGAATGCCTGCGAGTAGATGCCGCTAAGAATTCCAAATGAGGGGTGTCGTGTGGACAAGACGGGTATCCATCCCAAAGCTGGGCCGCATCGTGAGGGACACGGCCTAATATTCCGTGGATCCGATGCTTAGCCACCACCAATCATAAGACGCCGGCACAGACTAAGACGAATGTGTTCGCACACACTTGACCCGGACCGAGGAAGGCGAGGATCTGGGGTAATCGCAGTGCTCAGGATGGCCGTTCGTCTCCGAAGGTTGTGAAATATTTCATCTCGTCACGGCGTTTGCGACTTCACGGGGGCGGGCTAAGCTTCTCTCTGTCGGCTGAAGTGCCCTCGCAGTTAGACGGGCGAGCAAGAGTGGGAAGGACCGCAGATCCCAGGTTAAGTAAGTGTCTGCCAACTTTGCCGAACCTTCGTCCCATGTGAGAGTTCCACTAGGTTGGTTGCCTTTTTTCTTCCAAGATCGAGGGCGTATCTGAAGTTGAGTTGACAGCTGGCGGCCTTCATAGATTCGCACACCAACCCAACACAACCTCTGTAGCCAGACATTTACTTAGTAAGTGGACGGGTTGTCCTTTTGCGTGCTGGGCATGACGGGAGACCTGATACACCTAAGATCAGCTCCCACAGAACACTGCGGTTGTTTGTGTGTGGTGAATGGCACCCCGCAGAAGCAGAACCCGCAGCCCCCCATATCACAGGGGCTCGTGGCGCGGCAGTTCGTGTTTGATTGGTGCGTGGAGTCGTAGGACGGGAGCTGCAGCGAGCCCAGCCTTGCTCTCCCCCACCTGACCCGCCATCCTGACGTACATGGTGCCCAGCTCTGCGCCGGCTCTTGCACCTCGCTATGCTGCTTTACCTGTGACGGGATGCAGCTCCTACCCCAGATTTCTCCAACTGTTCCCGTGCCATCCCAAAACTGGGCTAAAGACGACCATTCCCTTCGAGCTGCGGTAAAACCGAGGGATAGGAGGGTTTGCATCCTGTCCGAGCCCGTCTCCTGATTTACCTTCTCTCCGCCTCACCTGACCTGACTCTGCATCTCCTCTTGCAAGGTACTTAACATTGTGCCGCCTTCGGCGTTTCTGCCATTTATACAGCAGAAGAGAGACGAGCTCTCTACAATATTCTGAGCTGTGTCTTTTCATCTTCTTCTTCCTTCGTGACTGTAGTGGCGAGCGGTGTCCTACTGTCTCTGGAGCCGGTCCCGAAACGATCTCTCCGCCATGCAGCTATTCTCACTTCTGGCCGTCGCCGTGGCGGTCGGCGCCTCTACTTTGACACCTCCCGTTCTTCCGCTGATTGTTCGCAACCCGTACCTCAGCACTTGGTTGGGCAACGCCCGCGATGCGCCTTGGGAACATTGGCCCATGTTCTGGACCGGGAGCAGCGTGAGCTTTGGTGCCACAGTCTTCTTCTAATATATGTGTCGCTGACTTTGAGCCGCGCTCCAGGTCGGCCTCTCCGTCATGGCATCTGTTCCGGAGTCCAATACTGTTTTTCCGCTGCTCGGACGACCTCAAGACTCCTTGTCCTCGGCTTCCAAGTGTGTTAGACCTGCATGCGGACGTGACAACACCTTGAACTAACATTCTTCCCGAAACTATAATATAGCCTTCCCAACATACCTAGGCGCTACCTTTGATGCTTCGACCACGAATCTGTCGTACTCGATTGCTCCGCCAAAGGGGTCTTCGGCGCCGGTCAAAATCATCCTTTCGTTTCTGTCCCCCATCACGCCCACGTCAACCTTCCGCCAATCCGTACCTGCTGCCTATCTGACAATCCATGCCGAGGGGTCCTTCGATGTCAACATCTACACTGATTTGAATGGCGAGTGGGTGAGCGGCAACCGGGACAACAAGATTGTCTGGGACCTCCTCAAGCCTCAAGGCGCCAAGGAGCAAAGTGCGGTCCTGAAGACCTGGCAGGTGTCAAGGCAAACACAACAACTTCTTACCGAGTTCGCCGACCACGCAGAATGGGGAACGCTGCATTTCACTGGCCCCGCCGACGTCTACCACCAAGCAGGAACGTCTAGAATCCTGCGACAGCACTTTGCAACCAAAGGCAATTTGAAGAACGAGGTAGATACTTTGTACCGGAAGATCATGGACGAGGAGCCGGTGTTTGCCTTTGCCAAGACATTCCACCTGAGTAACAACACTGGGGCCGGTCTTTCATCGACAGACAGCGTGTTGTTCACTTTCGCCCTTGTTCAAGATCCAGTTGTCCAGTTTGCAGCCGCCAGAGGGTTGACGCAGATGAGGCCTCTGTGGTCGTTCTACTTTGCAACCTCACCCGAGCTAATCCAATACCACTATGACGACTTTGCCGTCGCCGACCTACTGGCAAGAAACTATTCGGACCAGCTGGCCGTTGACGCTTTTGCCTCCGGCTCCCAGGACTACCAAGACATTGCTGCGCTGTCTGCCCGCCAAGTCCTCGGTGCAACCCAGTTCTCAGGAACTCCTGACGACCCCATCCTGTTCCTAAAGGAAATATCCTCAAACGGAAACTTCCAGACTGTCGACGTCATCTTTCCAGCGTTTCCATTCTTCCTGTACACGAATCCTCGCTGGCTTGCTTACCTTCTCGAACCTCTTTTGGAACATCAACTGAGCGGCCAATACCCGAATGACTACAGTATGCATGATCTGGGCTCACATTTCCCCAATGCTACTGGACACCCCGATGGCAAGGATGAGTACATGCCCGTGGAGGAGTGCGGAAACATGCTCATCATGGGGTTGGCCCTCGTCAACGCCTTCAAGTACGACACTCAGCCGGCGTTCATCCAGTCCGCTGATGGTCTTGCTGGTCCACTAATGTTGCTGGACCCCAAGAACTCCGGCGGGCGACCCTTGGCGCTGTCTCCCGATATGTATGGCATGGATCGTTCATCAGCTGTCACTGCCTTCAGAGGAGCCAAGGAGGCTGAAAAATGGGTGTCTAGGTCTTACGAACTTTGGACCAAGTGGACGGGATATCTCGTTCGCGAGTCGCTGATCCCAGCTAACCAGCTCTGCACTGATGATTTTGCCGGCTGGCTTGCCAATCAAACAAACCTCGCCTTGAAAGGCATCATTGGGATCAAGGCCATGGCCGAGATCGCCGACGTCTTGGGGAAGACGGATGACTCCAAGTACTACTCGGATATCGCCAGCGACTATATTGAACAATGGCAAGGCTTCGGGATCTCAAGAGACGGCTCCCACGCCAAGCTGGCGTACACGTGGTACGGCTCCTGGACGACCATCTATAACCTCTACGCAGACTCCCTGCTTTGCTTCCACTTGCCAGAACGAAAGGCGGCATCACAGGGTGGACGTATCGTAGAGTGGTTGCAAAGGACCTTGCGTATGGGCTCCAAGACGTCCTTCATCCCGGACAAGGTCTACAACATGCAAAGCAACTGGTACCATGCGGTTCTGCAGCATTACGGCCTTCCGCTGGACAGCCGTCATTTGTATACGAAGAGCGACTGGCAATTCTTCGCCGCGGCCGTCACGAGCAAAAGAACTCGCACTGAGATACTTCAGAGTATCGCGGGATGGGTCAACGAGACGACAACTGGTAAGAGGGCAGTATCTGATGACCGAGCCTGAGACATGCTAACAAAGCTATCGTAGACCGACCCTTGACCGACCTGTACGAGACGGAGGGCACTGGTGGATGGCCCGGGCCACATTTTATGGCCAGACCTGTTGTTGGGGGCCACTTTGCCTTCCTGGCATTGGAAAGAGCATGTGGAGGAAAGGCAGTCGAGGGTCTCAGCTTCTTAGATGAGCCGGAGGCGTTCACGGAAATAGATGTGCGTAGGGCTCTCGAGGTAGAGACTGTCGACGGAGGGGACGTTGAGCAACTACCAGTGATGGAAGACTTGTAGAGCTCGTAATCCATTGAGACCAGAAATGCAAACGTTGGGCCTTGGCCGTCCATCAACCCATAAAAATTGCTTTGTATTGGAAGAGCCGCTGCGCATCACACAAACAAACACCTTTGCGAGTGAATGCAAAATGCAGGGCGCTAAGGGAGCTCAATGGCCATTCTCCTAAGCTTGTGTGCTAACTGAAAGTCCGGTCAACTCAATCGATATTGCTTTGGTTCATGATTTGGTCTCAGGTTGAACACGCATGCCTACATCTACCGTTGGACATCTACCGTTGGATATCAAGGTCTAGGCCCATGGTCTAGAAACATCGCACGCCAGGGCAGCAGGTCAAGCAGTATTACGCCTGTTTGCCTTCCCCATCCCGAATTTTTAAAGCCATAGGTCCTAAGGGCAGTCGGCTCCGCAGCAGTTGGTGGTAGTCTGGTAGACAACGAGGTGCCATGTGTAGGCCAGCAAAAGTGTAGCTATGCATCGTCGTCTGCCTACCTAGTTCTACCTGTAGGCACAGTTGGCTCGTGCGCGTTGGGAAGAAAAAAAAGAGCTAGACTTATTGTGGAGTAGTCATATGCTAAATTTCGCCAAATCAACATGGGGCATTCGCTTCAAAGCAGGCTCACGCAGGGGAGGGGACTGTCGTAGCTTCTGACTGGTCAGCGAACACAGGGAGAGGACACAGGCACGCTGGGCTCCTTCGCGCACGGCTGCAGCTTTCCCTTTCCCAAATTTTTCTTCCTACGGTTCCCACCCTTCCCCGGCTGCAGTCACAGTCAATCAATCAATCACAGGGCAGTCTTTTCTCGCCTCCCCTGTTCGCTGGTGTTGCCTGCTCTGTTTTTGCTGCTGCTGCTGCTGCTGCTGCTGCTGCTGCTGCTGCTGCTGCTGCTGCTCGCCCTGTCTTTCTTTTCCTCAGGACCAAAACTCTAGCCCTGTCTGCACCTGCCTAGCCTGCTTGTCCGCCTCACCTTCCAGGCTGCTATTGCTTGCATCCACGGGTCGTCTGCGCCTTCCCTGACTGACACCCTGAGTACCTTACCTTGGTAGGAAGTGTACTGTCCAGTCCAGACTACCTTACCAACAGCACCCCCAACTCAGCACTAGGCTTCTCCCACCAGCAGTACCTCACGGTAAGACAGTACCACACACGCGCCCCAAGGCACGCACGCACACGCTCCTTCGTCGCATCCCATCCCACCCACGCCTCGACCTACCGACGTCTTTTCCTCTCCTTCACATCACTCACTCTTCCTCTTTCCTACCTGGCATCTCCACGCCGCGTCCTTCCTCCCGATTGATGCTCTTCGTCAAACGCATCTAATAACTTATCGGCGACCGTAATTCTTCCCTTTCTATTTCATTCGTCCCGTCCCGTCTTGCCGACCTTTTTTTTCCTTCCCCTCCCTCTCTCACCCTAACCTCGATTGAGGCTCCAGCCTGATTCTATCCCTCTGTTCTGACCAATCTGCCATCACAACAGAAGAGTCTGCGTCACCAGTGATCGCGTCGCTGGCCAATTTCCCCCAGCTACCAACACTCAAACGCCGACGATTTTGCAGTCGACGAAACAGCACCACTTAACATGGCTACCACATCCATGGATTACGAGGCCGCCAATGGCGACCGCTACGATGGTTCGTTTTATCTCGACGCTGCCCGTCGCCCTCAATCCAATTCGGCACTGACAGATTCACGCCCTGCAGACGAGGCTCCTCGTTACGAGCGCGACAACCGCAGCGCTTCCCCTCGTCCCATCCGCGATGATGGCGACTCTGGACGCCGTCGCTCTGCTTCGCCCGCTGGCAACGGCGACCGGTACGCAACTTCCCGTCCTTTTCAGCCAACGTGTTTTTTTCCCCTTTCGCTTTTTGACTGACAAGCTTCTTTGGCTCCAGTGGCAATAAGGACGAGACTGGCTCCAAGGGTGGTGATGATGACGGCGCTATCAATCCTGGCTCCAATCTCTTCGTCACCGGCATCCACCCTCGCCTGACCGAGTCCGAGGTGACTCGTTTGTTCGAGAAGTACGGTGAGGTTGAGAAATGCCAGATCATGCGCGACCCCCACACCAAGGAGTCCCGTGGTTTCGGTTTCGTCAAGATGGTCACCTCGGACCAGGCCGATGCTGCCAAGGAGGGTCTGCAGGGAGAGCAGATCGAAGGCCGTACCCTCAGCATCGAGAAGGCCCGTCGTGCTCGTCCTCGCACTCCCACCCCTGGCAAGTACTTTGGTCCTCCCAAACGTGGTAAGTCCTGCCTTTCCAGTCATTGTCTTGTAGCAGTCTGCTGACGCTTATCCAATAGAGGGTGGCGGCGGCGGCCGTGGCGGCGGTCGATTTGGCGACCGCTATGATGACAGACGTCGTGGTGGTTACGGAGGCGGTTACGGAGGCGGCGGTGGTGGTGGTGGCTACGGCCGCGACGACCCCTACCGTTACCGTGGCTACGACAGACGCGGCTACGACGACCGCAGCGGTGGCTACGAGCGCGGCTATCGTGAGGACCGAGGCTACGACCGCAGCTATCGCGAAGACCGTGGTGGCTACGAGAGACGCGACCGCGGTGGCGGTGGTGGTGGCGGCGGCGGCAGCGGCGGTGGCGACGACAGCTACAGCGGCGGCGGCGGCCGAGTGGACCGCTACGGTGGTGGCGGTAGCCGCGACGACCGCGGTGATCGCTACGTCCGTGGTGGCCCTGATGAACGTCGCGGCGGTGCTGGCTACGAGCGTGAGCGCGGCTACGACAGGCCCGCTGATCGCGACGGTGCCCGTTCTCGCGATGCCCCTGCTGCTGGCGCAGGCTACAGCGATGCCCCTGCCCGCTCTGAGGCCCGTGAGCCCTACGGAGGTTGGATTATTTGATTACCTACCCGCCCGCACGTTCTCACTGCTAACATGTCTAGGTTCTCGCTGATTTACTACACCGTTCACCACAAGCCGTTGATGCGTCAAGTTTTTTTTTTTTTGGCAATCGACGGATGCTTCCTCTCCCATCTTTCATAGTGCGATCGATTACGGCGGATATCCTAAAAAATTGCGTCTCATGGAGTTCTTGTGCACTACAACTAGTCGGGATGGAAGCACAAAAAATGGGTTTTACGGCCTGCGTGGTTTACCTTTCCTGAGCACCGGCATTCTCGCTCATGACGGCTCAAATGCGAGAAGTCATTGCCATACTAGACGGCATATTCTTCTCAAGTAATGCTGTTTTAGGGCGACGAATGTCTGGCGGTCTCTCTCTGGTAGCTTTGGCAAAAAAACAACGCGGCAAAACGGCAGGCTTCGACAGGCTTTGGCCAGAGTGAAAGTCACTTTACCCCCTCGTGGATCAGCACTCTCGTTACACCAAGTCATGGGCCCGCGCCGGTCTATGGCTGTTCCCCTTACGCAAACCAAATTTCCACCTTGTACCATTATCTATCGCATCCCGCTTCGGGGTCGAGTCGAGTTTGAGACGCCCTCGCAAATCCGACATGGCTCGATGCAAATTCAGCATGATAAGATGTTGACCAGCAATGCAACATGAATGACAACCGCGTCCCTAAAACAACTAGAACTTAACTGTGCCGCCTGAACGCCAACTTTCAGCTTTCCAGTCGTAAATGAAACGCCCTTATTCGCCATTCGCTCTCTCTGTCTCGTCTCTTGTCACCATTGCACCTCAGCGACGCCGGACACAACAAAGTCTTGGCTCCCTCTGCATCATTTCGCGTTGACTGTTACGAACGCAGGCTGAAATTTACATTTGCGGTAGAGAACGCTGGTTAAAGGTATCTACCCCTATTGTAACAGGAGCGAAACTAACTGCATGCTTGCCGCCAGCTGTGGCTTCTCCCAACCACGACTTTTCCCCCATCTTGACTCCTCTTCAACTGGTGCCGCCATCGCAAGGGCTTCACATTCAGACCATCTCGTCCAGGACCCGTTGAAGCATGCTGCGTTGATCGGAGCATTTTCAAGATACTCTACAGGTTCCCGAGTGGGCGCTACCGAAACCTACGTAGATTGATTCTAGACAATTCCCGAGCAGGGCAGTCCCTACTTCTGCGTCAACTCTAAAGAGGCAAAAGCAGCCAACCTACGTCGGAAGGTTTCGTCGGAATATGCTCGCCAATCGCACGGGGGGATATTGGGTTTAGGGATAAGTCAGCCCAACTACAATCATGCCTCGCCAATTCGAATGAAATCCACTCAGGTAAGGAGTCGGCAACAGGTTTGACGCCAATCTAAATTAAACACATGTCAATTAGTGTAGCATAGTCCCTCTTGTCTACAGAGAGGCACTGCAGAGGCTTGAAAAAATGATACTAGACAAGAAACACATGACACAGTGCTCTTTCAACCCGCAATTGAATTTGGGTTCAATGGCACAAGCCGAGTTACCCCTAGGCCAGCCATGATGCTGGAAGTAGGTTTGTGAGTTGTTCCGTGTGGAAGTATATCATTCATCATCAATCGTACAAGAATTTACATGGAATGAGCCCCCAATCAGTCGTCTCTGGCCGTGCGGTGGTCGCTGGGTGTCGGTGCACCAATAAGCCAGCCAACACCTGATGTCAGGGTTCCCATGGCTGCATCACGAAGCTGATCTCGCTTCCTCGCCCTGGGGTGGTCGTCGTGCGCTTCTCCGTCGCCGCTCGCGGCTGATTCGGCTATGCTCGGCGCCTTGCCGCCGCCCACAGACTGCTGCAGAGTCGAGAGCGCAGAAAAATTGCGTGATGCAGCGCGAGCCGTGGCACGAGACAGATCGAACAACGACATGGGCGCATCGTCACCTGCCTTGGCCGCCGCCGCTGTTGTGGAACGAGACTGATTGCCGTACGGCCTGTGGGATCGAATTGCCGGCCCTGAGTCGAATCCTCCAGGCATGCCGTGCGAGCCAACATCAGCAGCGGAGTCTAACGCGGCCTCGCGGGAGGCTTCCTCTTTGACTGCTGAGTCGAGCTGCTCCTCACAGCGCCGGAAGGTCTTGAGGATCTCCTGGAGCTGGGAAGGCGGAGCCATGCGAAGCGCAGTAGCCAGGCAGTCGATGCGATGCTCCAAGTGCCTGATCTCGGCGTTGCCGCTGGCATTACCCAGATGTGTCGGACGGACGGTTCTTGCCGTCCTAATGTACTGGCCTGCTTGCAACGCTGCTCGCCAGGACCAGTCGTCGTCAAGCTGGACTGTGGCATTCGAAACCGAGTTGTCCGCTCGGCCGCTCAGCCGGTTGGCGACATAGGAGTACGCAGTCTCAAAATCGTCTTCCCTCAGGGCGGCCTCGATGCACATGGCCGTGATGCGTTTCTGTGCGGCATCAATGTGTGCTTGCTCGTCGTTCTGAACCTGAGGAATGGCCCCCTTTTGGACTCGGTCCACAAGACCGGCGCGGACCATGTTGACACCCATGTCTGCGAGGTCCTGGATACGTGTATAGCTGTTTGGATTCTGCTCCAGGACTTTGGTGATGATGGAGACCGGGTCGGAGTGCACGCGGAGGACAACGGGACTGAAAGGCTCACCCTGCCTCAGCACCAAGCGGTAATCACTGAGGGCGTGTGTCGCCTTCAGTAGCGCATCGATCTTTTGCCGCTCTGGCAGGGATTCAGGAATGGTAATGGGGAAGGAGTTTATGCTGCAACTGTTAGCAGCTATTTCTAGTTGCGGGCTGTGACACTCACATCTCATCGCATTTCTTGAGCCCACCCCTGGTGCGGTTAGGATTGGAGGCATTGTCATATGCGTTGAGAGCTGCCGCAATCACCATCTCCTGAACGACCTGGGATGGTAACGGTTTCTCGGCAGAGTCCTCGTACAGCGACCTTGCCAAAGGGTATCCTGAATATATTTAGCAGACAGCCCCGTGTTCCCTTTTCAGTCCCAACTTACGTCCACTTGCAAGGAGGGCTTTCAAGATTTCCGTCTCAACAGTTTCGGCTTTGACCCGCGCAAAGAGTCCAACGACTGGCCCATTTGCACTCGATACGCCCCAACTTCGGAGCCAGAGCAATTCGTTTCGAGCCTTGATCCAGAAATTCGCCTCATGTTTTGGGGCTTGTTCCGCAACGGCGTGTATTAGCTTCGTGGCTTCGGCCTTCTGGTCTCTTTCGTCCTGGATAAACGCCAAATCCCCCGCTCTCTTGACGGTACAGCCCAGCCCAAGTCGTGTGAGTATATATGCACTGACAATAATGGCGTGCAGCAGGTGTGTTGCCTTCTTTGAAGGAGTAGTGAGTGGGTTGTGCGGCTTCAGTAGATCGTCCCGCATGAATGCTGTATTTTTGTGGTTTAGGATACCGTCCCCTTCCAGATGAGGCACCGCGGACAAGGACTCTGCTGCGGCCTGTAGCGGAAGCGTGTCATCCTCACCAAGAAGATCCATGACTTTTCTCAACATTTGATGGGCGCCCTCAAGTGCTTCGACAGAGGCTTCGGGGACGAGGTAAGCGCAGGCCAAGACAGCACGAGCATACCGACGGTCAAGGTACTGTTGCTGCTGCTCGTTGAGCCATACGGCATCATAGTCGCCCAAATCAACATCTACAGCACCTCCCCACTGCTCAACGGCCGCGGCGGCTGCCCTCCAGGAACTCGAACTCAGCGACAGGAGCCACTCCAGAGCTCGCTCCCAACCTGGGCTGTGCAGTTCCTCGCCCGTGGATACGCTCAGGGAACTATCCTCAGACTGTTTCCAGCGGGCGTCATTGTGAAGCCACGGAACCAGAAGGCTCCTTAAGTCCCGGCCGATTAGCGCGTGGTCCTCGGACCGCACTCCAGTTTGAGATAGGAGAGCGTCCACGGCAGCGCCGTCAGGTAGCTTCTGAAACTCTGCAAGGGTATAGGGTATGCTGTCCGCAGGGTAGTATTCGTAGTTCCTCCTCAGCAATGGCAGTAATGTCGAGACCATCCACAGACGGATTCCTGGAGCGTATTGCAGAAAAGGACCAAGAAGCTCCGGCAGCTGCGTGAGCAAGCCGGCCTCTTCGTCAACGCGGTGGGCCCTTCGGAGGAGGAAAAGTGTTATCGGGTCGTCCTCTGCGTTAAAGGGTGCATCTTCCCAAGCCAAGGATAGCAACCGAAGCTTGCGAACCTTCTTCGCCGCGTCCTCCTCGGACAGGTTCTCGACAACAGCGTAGTCCATGCTGGCGGCCTCGCGATCCGCAAAATCCCCCGTAGACAGCTCCTCAAGAAAGTAAACATAGTCGCGGGACCTGACCGTCTCGGGAAGGTAGGTTAGGAGTATGCGCAGGACGACGTCTTTGCGCAGGACGGCGGCGTGTCGAGAGGTGAGAAAGGCCAAGCTGTCAATGTCGGCGTTAATGGCAAGGTGGACAGCCAGCAGTACCAGCTTTGGCGGAGACAGAACACGGCTCATGATGCAGGGTTTCGACCATGTCCGTGGAGGAATATTTGTCGAGGGATTTGGATATCGTGGGGATCTTGTTACGCTGGGCCAGATTATCGGCGTATCGAGTGTCGGGTCGCAAGTAGAGCTCTAAAGTAGGATACATGCACAAGGTCCCTTAGCTTCGTCATAATCAAGTGGGTCCACAGGGATCGAAACGGGGGGAATTAGACGCGCGTTAGCCGAGTGAGCCCGCCGCGGCTCCAGAATCACTATTGGAATCAGGTACCGTCTGATAGGACGAGATTTCCTTGCAGCCGCGGTGGCGGCCTTCTTCGGCTGGACACCACTTCAGAACTTCGACATCGCGATCGAGTCCGCGACCTTCCGACGACCTTGAGCTTCACCCACCACCCAATTAGCGTCTGCACGATCACAATGGCCTCTGGATACGGTCTTCACGGAGGCATGTGCTCGGTTCTGAAGATTTTGATGCGCTACTGACTCGAGATCGTCGACATAGGCCCGTCGCGGTGCTTTCCCTTCTGGCAGGAGCTCCTCGGCTGCTACGTTGTGAACACCACTGGTGAGGACCATTCCGGCAAGAAGAAGTGTGGTCTGGCACTGGAGGACTACTACGAGTGTCTGCATCACAAGAAGGAGGTAGGTTTCTAGGGACCTGGCGTCGATTGGGCGGCCAAGGGCTCACCATAGTTATACAGGCTGCGAGAACGAGGGCACTCCAGGCTGCCTACCGAAAGGCCGAGTCAGCCAGCGCGCGAGACAATGCCCCGAGTGTCGGACAAATACGCAATCTAGGACTTATCGGCAAGGAGGACGACACCAAGGCCGTGACGGGGAGTTGAACCAGAAAGGGTGGCTTTTCGACACAGTGAAAGAAATGTATATGGCGCGAACCGGACAAGTGGCAGTTGTACGCAGCAATGACAAACCACTGATCTTTTCCAGTCGCTGGCTTGCGTCGTGACGATAACTAGCGTTGTTGGAATACCGGGTATACGAGTGACACCAGAATGCCGACGCACCAGGGAATGCTAGTGTCCTTGAAACTGACACAACCATCCAAGGAGATGGTTCCGGCCATCATCGGATACGGTTTAGTGATCACAACAGCGGCGGGCTTCTCGCTCGACTCTATTCAGGACGGATGTCCTTCAGGCAGATGCATGGTTGAAGTATAAAGGGGACTCAGTCTGAATCCTTCCGCACATGTTTTGAAATATCGAGGCGCTCGGCAGCGATGGGCTGCCGGGTTTGGTTAAAAGCAGTCATTTGAATCCCCGGGACAAAATAGGGATAGAAACGCCTCCGCAAATCAAACTGAAGGAGTAAAGCATAATGCAGGACAAGCGGTATCGGATGCTGCAGAAAGGTTCGAGATGCAACCGAATATCGCACGAGGAACAAGTTGTCTATTCTTTGTGGTAGGTAGCGAGCGATGCTTGGGTAGGTGCTGCCTTAGGAGAGCGCGGCCCTGAATTTCTGTCGACCTAGGTAGCCAGTAGGACCTGCCAAAGATGGCTTTGATGTCCTTACCTCTTCAATGGTGAGGATCTTGCCAAAACCCAACCCCGCGTCACCACCACCACCTACGTGCATGGGAAATGACCATTACTTGGCCGCATTTCCCGTCAGAGAAGATGCCAACTCTTCGTGGGATTGACGTCTCTGTCGTCCTCAGCCCCACCGAGCCTCCTCTACCTGAGCTTCCTCACCCAGACGCGTCTTCTGTTATCCTTCGTGGGCTGATCCTGACCAGCCCAACGTCGTCTCCAGCTTCGAGCTTGCACGCTACCCCTGAAAAGTGTCGAGCGCAGAGCACGGTGTATATCCCGTCCACCCCAGGTGCCCAGTTCCACCTCCGCTATGGAATCAGCAGACCGCCCGCCGGCGCCAGGTACTTATACTTCAGGCTGGTAATGAACGGTCGCCCAGTGGCATCGTGGGGCATCAAGTCACACACAGGCACTACCGAGATTGTCAGCCACGCCTTGTACGTGCCCGACAATAAATGGACGTACCGAGAAAGCGGGATGGTTTACAGGCGGGAAGGCGTCGAGAAGAGATTCTTCCATTTCACGCCTCATTCCGGCAAGGATACGCCTGCCGCCATGGACGGCGGCCTCGTCGAGCTTCAGGTCTTTCGTTCAAAGGGAAGGAGGAGGAGGTCCCCCGAGCTTGCCGATTTCAGAAGCCAGGACGCCTACGGAATCACGTAAGTTTTCCCATTTATTCGGGCAACTCGAGTTTAAGATATTCATGTTGGACGGCAGCTCTCCTACGGGTGGTCTCATCGAGACGCCCCAAGACTTGACTTATTATGACTGGCTTCTTGTTGACGCCGTGGACATACCATACGCCACATTCCGCTTCTTCTACCGCACTTGGTGTCATTTGAAAGAATTGAATCTCGTGCCAGAATCGCTTTGCAATGAGCTCATTACATCATCGGGACTCACAGAAGAAACCACAGAGGAAACCCCGCCAGACACCCCCAGCGTGCTAGCCGAGCCAGCAAGAAGCAGCGAGACACCCAATTTCGGCTTTGACCCAGCCGACGGATCTGTTTCTGGAAGCGGCGTTTCTCAGAGCAGCCACAGGCGGGACCGGAAAGCGTTCAAGCTTCCTACACCACCCAAGCTAATACCCCCGAAGCCCGCTCGACTGAAGCTGCCGCAGCCTAGCAAGCTATCTCGCGATATTAGGCAGGTGTCAGATCCTGCGAGACCGTTGCCACCTTTGCCGGACATTGAAGTTCCTCTCCGCAGACCTTCCCTGGAGTCATCGCGAGCTCCCTCCGTCACACCTTCCCTTCAGACATATGCCGATGAGTCGAGCGGGGCCGACGAGATCGAGCTTGGAGTTGCTAGGCGAGTTGTATTGCCTCAAGCCTCCAAGGAACCGGGCGGAACGGAACAGCCGCTGCGCCCGCTGCCCGCACCTCCCACGATACCCCCGTCACCTTCTGACTACGACACAACGCCCCCTTCTCCAGGCGGCTCCAAGGCATTCAAGCACATTGGGCGGCAGGAATGCTTGGTCGGAACGACACGTCAGCGAGGTGCTTCGGGGTTCGACATCGACGCCCCTAGCGAGGGAAGCTCTTCGACCACTGAGAACTTTAGCAACATAAGCATGTCGGAGGGAGAATGGTTCAGGAGTCCATCACCACTGCGCCGTAAACGAGGCAGGGTGAATCTGAATGGACCCAATGCGCCAACTACTCTGCATACGACCTCGTTCTCGCTGGGAGGCGAACGCGATGATTTCATATAGTCGTTGATCACAGAGAAGACAAGGCGGTGGCGATGTCGCAACAATCAAATGACGAAGGGTTCCTGGCGGAACTTTGGTCAAAGGCAACAGGTGCTGTGTAATCTGAATGTTCTTGGGCGGTGAGGGTCTTGGAGGGTTCGGTAAACGCCATGGTCTTGACGTGTAATGAGATTAGGTCACTGGTACACGACGGCATTTATTCTAGTCCATCGACTGCGTGGAATTGTCCATAGCACAATAAAGCATGCATTCAAAGCAAGCGAACACATGAATCTGCGAAACTACCACCACTTTTCGCAGAGTACCCGATCGCTTTCAAGGTCTAGCCCACTAGAAGAGGTAAGCTTACGGACGAATTCGTCCGTCATCGATGGCACCCCGCAGACATACACTATTGCCGAGCCGTGGTCCTCCTTTGGTCCCAAAGCTGTAGAAATGTCCTCCAGAGTGATTCGCTGGGGCCGAAAGCCGACGTCCATCTCGTTACACGATAGGACGTTCCTGTCAACCGGCTTGTTCAAGCCAGTCAGAAACAGCTGCAGACGGCCGCTAACCTTCCCCCTTCCATACATGGTGGCCAGGCGTTCCATAAACAAAATCTTCTCAGAGTCGAGATCATCAGGTGCCTTCACAGAGTATAAGAAGTGGATGTCATAGGGACAATTTTTCTCAGATAGATGGCTTAAAATACTCATCAACGGGTTGATGCCGACGCCGCCGGCCACAAAGACAATTCGACGAACAGATGAGAGATCGACATCCGGCGGGGGCCAGACGAAGGCGCCGCCCACGCGAACTTTGATCAATGATCCGATGGATGCCTCCTCCCAAAGCCAAGCGGCCGGTGGGTTTGTTGATCTCTGCACCGCAAGCTCGAGGTACGGCGAAGTTGGGAGACTGGCTTTGGAGGGAGGGCTGGTGATGGTGAAGCCGCCAGGTTTGGGGATGTTGGGAACGAAAGTATCAAGCCATTGCCCAGGGAGAAACTGGAGTTGGTTCAGCATGTGCCAAGGATGTGATGCATTTGGCGCTCTGTTGCCGCACGATGCGTACCTTGATGCTTGACTCGTCCCTGATCCCTAGGCGAAATAGCCGAGTGTTATCATTAATTTGACCGATTTGATCCAGAGTCACAGAATGAATTTGCTTTGATCGACGTCAGCGCAGTACTTCGCTGGATACAATAGACGGAACGGAAATGATCTCTCACTAAATCACGCGGGCCGCTTGCTGTGCGTTCAATGTGCGATTTTTTACTCCGGGTTGCCTCCATTCTAGCGGCTGATAGGAACCTATGAAAGTGAGGGCTTAGAACAATACAAAGCTGTCTTAATCGGCTGAGGCCACGCATTTACTGCCCTGGACTCTAGCAGGTGTTAGAGTTCATACAGTTCGTACCCAGAAGTCTAAGCCCACCCACCCCATATATGCGTCTCACGCAACGCGCCACAAAACCCCCCCTCTTCTACCACCTACACTACTACTACTAATATTACCCTAAATAAAGCGATTTAGTACTAAAATTAGTAGTAGTTAATGAGGTAATTATAAATTAATACCTAAAGTATATATAATAATATATTTAGTAGTAGCTTATAGCTAAAGTTAGTACTTAGTTACTAATACTTTTAGTATCTCTTAAGGTACTATCTATTAATCTATTAACTACCTCACTACTAACTATACCTTTAAGAACTTACTATACTAAAGCGTATTTACTTTCTTTTAAAATAAGAAATTTAATATATATATACTATATAGTTTAAAAAAAGCCCTATATAACTAGAAAAACCCTTACTAACTAAGTTAATTAAAAAGTTTTTATCTTTATAATATATTAAGCTTTTTATAAGTACTACTACTATAAATAGAAGTCTATAAAATAGATCTTCTTCTTAAGAGATAACTATATTAAGTAGCTATATAAGGCCTATTTTTAAGTAAATAAGAATAATAAATTAATAGAAATATAGCTCCTAATATATTAAGTATTCTATACTAACTTCTAAACTGTATATACTAATAAATACTTAATCTAATTAATAACTAGCTATACTATAGTATAGGTTTAGCACTATCTCTCTAAAAAAATAGAATAATATCTTTATTAACTAAAGTAATTATAATAAAGTAAATATTACTATAATATACTAAGTAGCTATTTAGAAAATAGATAGATCTTAACTAATCTTTATAAAAAGAGACTTAACTTCTAAGAAGAATAAGTTTATATTATAAAACTATATTTAAACTTTAGAGAAGAGTTTATTACTAAAGTATAATAGGTAGCCTCTAGCTATTTATAGTAACTTTTACCTACTTAGAGCGATAAACCCTCCTAACTTCACGCCTCCTAATAATATATATAGCCTTTAGTTATATAATTATAATCTCTAACTACCTCTCCTAACTATAACTATACTTATATATATATATAACCTTATAATCTTTAACTTCACTTTAATAATAATATAGTTTATAATTACTTAATTACTTAATTACTATAGACTACTAAACTATTAACCTATTCTCTCTCTTATATATTACTTACGCTACTATTAAATACTATCTCTATTACTATTTTGCTATCTACTATTTATACTATTATTAGTAACGCTTTCTCTATTAGTTAGTATAAAGTGTACTTATTAATATCCCCCTAGAGGGCTACCTCTACTTTAGTATTATAGAGGGCCTATTTAAAGAAAGGCTACTCTATAAAGTATATAAAGACCCTATCTACCTCTACTACTAAATTTATATACTTACTATTAATTAAAATATATATCTTAAGGTCCCTTATAGAGGTATTAATAAGAGCTCTCTTAAATATTATTCTAATTATATACTTTTTATATATATTAAGCTATACTAAGAAAGAGAGGTTTTTATTAATTTAATTAATATTAAACTTTATAATAAGCTTTTATATATTATTTATATTAATAAGTATATTAGGCTTAAGGTATCTATATATAGGCTTAAGTACTAATATTATAAAGGTTTCTTATAGGTTATAGGAAGAGGAAGAGGGAAGGGTATAAAGTCCTATATATAGTAGTAGAGCTTTTATACTTCTAATTATAAGGACCTCTTAGGATAACCTCTCTAGTTAAAGAGTTATCTCTTATATAGTAGTGTTACTAAGCTATAAGAGCCTTAATAACTTATTTAGCCTTAATATAATTAGCCCTACTATATATAGTGTTATTACTACTAGCTTTATACTATATAGCTAGCGCTATTACTATTCTATTAGTCTATTTAGCTAAGGCGTACGTTTAACTTTATATAGTGATATTTAGAGGGTTTATCTACTAATAGGAATATATAGGGTTTTTATACTATTTTCCTTAACTAGTAGAGGGTATAAGTTAAAGTACCTATATAGTCTAGAATTATACCTATATATAGGGTGAATTTTGCTATAGTCTTTTTATAGGGGGGCTGTATTATAACTATAAACTTAAATATATTAGCAGTCTAATTAACTTATATAAGTAGGTATTATAGTTCACTCTATACTTATTTTCTTAGTACTTTAAACCTAATAGTAGCATTTTAACTTATACTTAATCTTAATAAAGTAAATAAATAAATCTTAGTATAACTAGTTATTAATACTTAATTTAACTTATCCTTAGTAGAAGAGAGTAGGTAGGTAAGTAGTAAAGTAGTAAAACATACTAATAAGAGTATTATTTATAATATTATAAAGGTATTATCTATAATATAGCTAAAGCTTAATAATAGCTTAAACTTATACTTAAAGGTGTAAACTTAATAGTATAACTCTTTATATAGCTAAAAGGGTTCTTATAGCTATAATATAAGAACTTAACTACTACTTTAAATAAAGACTTAAACCTATTCCTTATATCCTCTTATATATACTATAACCTTATATAATAACTTTCCTAATTTTTTTATTTATTATAATTCTATATAAACTAAATAAAGCTATACTAGATAACTTAATTTATAAGACTAAAGTTAATAAAATTAATAGTTTTAAGTATAGTAACTTTCTCTATATTAATAAGAAAACTCTCCTTAAATTCACTTAGAAGTACCTACTTAAAATAGCTAATAAGAGTAATATAATAGAGTTATATAGCTTTAAGATTAATATAGAGATAGTTAAGGCTATTAATAATAATCTTAATACTTATAATTACTTTATAAACTTCTTTAAGATAGCTAAGGTAGCTTAAGTACTTAAATATTAATAAGTTAGGAAGGGTAAATCTAATATTAAGAGTATAACTAATAGTAGTAAGGCTTTTTATTAAAACTATATAGTAGGGTAGAAGATATTATCTATTATAGTATAGATATCTAAATAGTAGAGGAGACTTAGAAGATAAGTATAGATTAAATATAGCGTGAGAAATAGAGGAAACTAATAGTAATAGAGGCGGCTAGAAAAAGATAGTTAACTTAGCTTATTATAATAGTTAAAGTCTAATAGAGGAGCGTAGAGGTAGAGCTTTAGGAAAGTAAGATATCTAAATCTATAGTTATATAACCTAAAGGCTATTAGTAGAGGGTGAGGGGACTAGTTTAGCTTTTATAGTTAATACTAATTAAATTTTATAATATAAGGCTAGCAGCTATAACTATAAATATAGATATAAATAATAATATAAATAATAATAAATATAGCTCTATAAAGCTTATTATTAAGGGAAATTTATAACTAAGGCTAGTAAAAAATAGGTTTATAATAAAAATCTAGATTACTTAGATTATATAGTTTTAGATTTATATAAGCTTATAATACTTACTACTTATAATAAATATAACCTTTTTATTATCTTTATAGATAAATATGTCTATTTTATATAGGGAAAATTACTTAAAGATAAAGAGAAATATACTATTAACAAAGCTTTTTTTAAATTTTAAGCTAAAGTTAATAATGATAATAATAATAATAATAATAAAAGAATAAAAGAAATATCTACTAATAGAAGTAGGGAATTTAATAATAAATACTTTAAAGCTATATATATTAAAAGTAGTATAATAGATAATAAAAGACCTCTTTATATATATAAACCTAATAAATTTATAGAGCGTACTATATATACTATAGTTAATAAAATAA